AGATAGAGTGTTTGGGGTACATGCTTTACATTCAGGAGATCCAGATTCAATTCTGAGCACCACAAAGCCACCAAGCACTTTTAGGAGTGATTACTCCCCACCCTCTATCCCAAGCACTAAATTGGGAGTAGCTCCTGAATACTGATATGTGTGTCTCCCCAACAAAAATTGTACTTTGTTGCTATGAAATGTACATCTCTATATTTATTGTCTTATTTTTCTCTGCATAGAAGTTGTATCTGCTTATTAAAAATATACCACTATTAACAATTTAAAGTATGTTTGTTTATTTATTTATTTATTTATTTATTTTGCTTTTTGGGTCACATTGGCAATGCACAGGGGTTACTCCTGGCTCATGCACTCAGGAATTACTCCTGGTGGTTCTTGGGGGACCATATGGAATGTTGGGAATCAAACCCGGTTTGGCTACGTGCAAGGCAAACGCCCTACCCGCTGTGCTATTGCTCTAGCCCCATAATGTATGTTCTTTTCAAGTATTTTTGTCTTGTAAAGATTTGCGGCGTTTATCGCATGCTTTTATTGGTGCCAAAATGTTTGCTAGACTTTGGGTCTGACTCAATTGACAAAATAGACAATTCTTTCTCACAAACATTTTTATTGTATTCATTTTTCTATTATTTCATACTCTGTATGTGTATTATTTTAATAACTGCTAATTTTACTGCATGAGTAAATTAAGTTTGTGCAATAATTTTCTTACATTTAGACCATTCCAATTTTTCAATGCTATTTTTTCCACATATGGGATATTTCCTTAATATACATTTCTTGAAATGGAAAAATTTGGTTAAATATGAGCATTTTAAGATTTCAGTAAAAACTTCCCAAATTTTTTCTGAAAGACAATTTCGCAGACTAACACATGTTACCTTCTCATATAATTTTTTCAAAAGACAACTTCTCAAAAAAAGCTTTCACTGACACTGGAGCAAACAAGAAATTCCTTCCCTCCCTCCCTTCCTCCCTCTCTGCTTCCCTCCCTCCCTCCATTCCTCCCTCCCCCCCCTTCCTTCCTTCCTTCCTTCCTTCCTCTCCTTCCTTCCTTCGTTTCTTTCTTTCCAACTATCTAGCAGTGATTTCTATCATAGTTTTTATCATTTGGATAGATAATTTCTTTAATTTTACTGTTTTCTAGTTAGCAAGATTGGGTTTTCTTTTATAAGGTTAAATAAATATATTTTTTATTCATTATTTTCTGTCATGCCTTTTGTCCTGTTGATGTGCTCCTGTTTTCCTTTCATGAGTATGAACTGTTTATGGAGGAGTTCTTTTGGTATTTACCCTCCCTCAGAGTTATCTCAAAGGAGTAAAGCAGGAAATGCTTACTGAGTTTTGTGTACAGAGGTCCTTGAAGTCAAGAGGAGGCTCACACACTTTTCCATTCCCAGGACCCAGCCCAGGATCTAGTAGCAGTGGGGATTCCACATGGGACACACAGTTGTTAAGCAGTGCAATGGACACCCAGAGACGAAGGAGGGGTGCAAGAGCCCGGGAGATTAATAGTTTCAAACATCATTTTTTACACTAAAGCTGGACCAGGAAATGATGAGCAAGTAAATCCTGCTTTCATAGCTAGAAAGGGAAAATTTTAAAGCCATAGAACAAGCGAATACAAGTAATTGTGTAACATCTGAAACATCTACAAAAGATGAAGGGAAATTAAGAGGCTATTTACTAGAAGAAAACATAAAAATAACCTGAAATCAACAAAATAAATAAATCAACAAAATAAATAAATCAACAAAAAAGAAGTGTTTTAATATGTTGTGTGTGAGGTTTGTTTCCTCCAATGGTGGTGATTTAAAAATGATCAGTAGCTTCGCCACGGCTTGTAAAATCACTGAATTCAGAAACTTGTTAGGCAACTCAAGTGATGTATTACTACATGAGTCTTTGTCATACACACATGTACTTACGGATATCTATAGCACAAAGGCCCTTGGGCAGGTGGTGGAAAAGCACGTCCTAAACCAGGAAAATTTGGCCTTGTTTGCTTTCTCTATAATGGCTGGTCCCTTCTGGTCACAACCTCTCAGGGGGCCAGGAGGAGCTAATTGTGGCAATTTCTGCTGCAACTGTATTTAGCATTTTTCTTTCTTTTGGAAACAAACTAGTCTCATTTAGAGATATAGGAAGAGAGGGATAGGAGAGAGAGAGAAAGAGAGAGAGAGAGAAAGAGAGAGAGAGAGAAAGAGAGAGAAAGAGATAGAGAGAGAGAGAGAGAGAGAGAGAGAGAGAGAGAGAGAGAGAGAGAGAGAGAGAGAGTTAGGTGCTCAGGAGAATCCCCAGGCCTGTCCAGAGAGGAGGGAACTAACTCACACCTCAGGTTGAGATTGGGCAAATCCCCAAGGTGGAGAAAGTGCTGTATCTCTCCTCTTCCTGTCTGTCTGGGTTGAGAAGCGGCGGGACCCCATACCAGTAGGAGATAAAGAGGAGATCAAGAGGGTACAAACTTGTGCTTGTGGTAGCTGCACAAAAGTGTAATTTTTTTTTTGCCCTAGTGGATCCTTGAGAATTATATGAAAGATTCGCATACAAAACTCCGAAGTTAGCTTAGGCTCATTCTTCAAGCCCATGAACGAGTATCTTGTTGGCTTGTCTCTGTTCTTTTTTAACTTTTCCTTTTTTTTTTCTTTAAATTTTGGCTTTTGGGGTCATTCCCAGCGATGCTTAGGGGTTATTCCAGGCTCTGTACTAAGAAATTATTCCTGGCAGTGCTCGGGGGGGGGGGGGGGGGGCATATGGGATGCTAGTAATCAAATTCGAGTTTGGCCACATGCAAGGCAAACAGCCTACCGTACCCAATGTCCTACTGCTCTGACCCCACTTGTCTCTGTTTCTTTGCTGCTTGCTTCCACTCTGGAGGAGCCTGTGTTCTCTCTTGAACATACACTTCCTTTCTCTCCTCTCACATATTTCTAAATAAGATGAATAAAAAAACTACATTGGAAAAAAAAAAGAAGTTGAAGTTTATTATACAGTTCAAAGAGATGGGTTCAGTTTCCTTGTGTACAACATCCATCATTTTATCTTTCTCCCTGTCTGGTCCTGATTATTATGCTCTGGTCACCTCTAGTGTATGATGACTTGGTCTTACTCCTTTCTTGTCTTCAGGTCTGGAATCTGTCTAGCTGAGAGAGCAATCCTGTCCCTAAGTCTCCTTGCTGGGACTTGCTGCCCTCGAAATTTCTAGCTGTTCCCTATTGCTCCAGCTTTCCATGATGAGATTCCTGTGCTATGTCTTTTGTTGCTGGGTTGTATCCCAGTGTTTCCCTGTTGTCCTAGCTTTCCTAATCTAGGGCCACGGCCACATGCTCCTGTGTGAGATTCTGTGCTCTGTACTTTGTCCTTATGTGTAACAGGCATCCTGCCTGATTCTGCTTTCTGTCTGGGCATAGGTGAGAAAGGCAGAGAGCGAGCGAGTGAGAGAGACAGAGAAAGAGAGAGAGAGACAGAGACAGAGACAAAGACAGAGACACACACAGAGAGAGAGTGTGTGTGTGTGTTGTGTGTGTGTGTATGAGAGAGGAGAGGATGGGGAGAGAGAGAGAAGAGAAAAAGAGGAGGGAGAGAGAGGAGAGAGAGAGAGGAGAGAGAGAGAGACAGAGAGAGAGAGAGGGATTCTCTCTCTGGTTGTTCTTGTTGCTCCTGAGTGTTTTTCCTGACTGGGGCTTCTATTATCTGCTAACTTTCCACCCTAGTCATTCTGTCATCTGTTCTTGATTGAATACCTTTCCGGGTGGGTGAAATTAAAATGATTGGATTAGATTAGCTTTAGAGTAACTAGTTTATCTGGCATTCTACCCTTCCATTCCCACTGTATCAGGACCACTTTAAGAAGGAATGTGAGCTGGAAGGAATCGTCTGAAGAACATTTTTGTCAGGTGAACAAAGGTAGCGAGGCACTTAATATTGTAGGGACAGAAAAGTAATCTGAAGGAACCATTTATTCTCCTTATGATGACTTAATAATATGGCAAAGGACTATTTGTTGAATACCTCTTAAGCCTCAGGTTTGTTGCCAAGAGCATGATCTACATAGTGTCACCTATTGGACCCTGCAGGCCCAGTTCATTGTTACCACTTTTGACACGCACCCCCCCCATAACCCACAAGCCTAAACCGAGTTAATAATTTCATTACTAGTTAAAAATGCTCTACTCATTCTCTTCACTCCTTCATCACAGTCCTCGTCCTGTTTCATATACACTGACTGCCAGTTAACTGGCTGAGCTCAGAGAACAGCCTCCGTGTTTCAATCTGATTCCTCAGCATTTGGTAGTTCTGAAGGATTTTGATTAATAAATGTTGAGTGGAACTCCATGACTTCAAATCCATGGAAGAACCATGGAATTTTTGACTAAGAGGATTTAAAACCTTTGATACAATCTTCTTTTACATATGGGAAAAATTAAGTTGGAACAAGTAACTTGCCTGAGGTCATTCAAACTTGGTGGAATGAGATTAGAATCCAGTTCCCTGGCTTTTCAGCCACCAATTGTTTCCTTTAAAGAAGCAGCTACCAAAACCCATCAAAATGCCTTTATCTCTCAATCTCCTGACCCCACCCAAATTCTATCAGCATCTGGTCTTTGGGTCTTGGTGCTATTTCTATGCCATTACATTTCTTACAAGAATTCACTTTTATATATAGCTTTTGCTTCATAGCTCCCCATTCCAAAACAAAGTACAAATTCCAAATTGACTTTTTTCCCCTGCTGTATTGCCTAGTATAAAGATGGGGGAACCGTCTGTCTCCATTTTCACCATCAAACTTCCCACAAGTATGCTTTGGTCCAGTCTGCTCAAAATGCTGTCAACACTCACACCAGGCCTTTTTCACCATCTCTTGAGAGATGCTGGTTCATTCCGACTAGGGTCCTTCTGATTTCTCAATCTGGTGTGCTTTCCTTAGCTATTTCTCTTCTGTGCTAGATGCCTCTGGCAGAGAATAGAGACCTAGAAAGAGCGGAAATATGGGTGTCCAGCACCTAGCAGTAAAGCCCTCAATCAAGTTGACTGGAATACTGTCTTGGGAAAATTACAGAAATGTAACTGCACTTATGAAGAGTTGTAAGCCACTTCCCTCCTAAAACATCTCTACTGGGTGAGAATAAGGAACCATCTCTAGTCCCCGGCCCCCCAACTCTAGTTCATTAGTTGTGACTATCACTCTCTATGCCTGCCTTTGGACTTCACATTCCCCAGGACTCTTGCCTCTGGACACTTATGGGAGAGAAATCCACAAATTCCTCTGGGGCACCACCTCTGCAGCTTGTCTCCTCAGTAGCTGGAGACGCCTGGGGTGCAAACAGGAATTTTTTGTACTTCTCGGTGCCTGGGGCAAAACCTGCGGAGCACATCAGGCTACAGGGAGAATAGAACCTTCCCACTCTCCCACAGACCCTGCTGTGTGCGGCCCGCTGACCTGCTGTCACGCGGGTTCTCTTTCCAGCGAGGGCACCTGGCAAGCAGGGCATAAGAATCCACAGGAAAGTGGCAGGTTTGGACCCACCCCAGCCCCCTCTTCCACCTGAACAAAAACTCATGAGCCCCCGGGACATTAAGTTTCCAAAAGATCCTTAGGACTGTCCTCTTTGGCAGGTTGGGGGCCAAAGGAAAGCCAAAGGTCTCTGCGAAGCTTGTAATCCTTCCTGAAGTCGCTCACTGCCCAGGGATCCCTGTCCTACCCCTTTGGGGGGTCCGGGGGGCACGGGGTGGCATCCCACCGAGCCTGGTCTTGCCCCACCCGCCCCCTCCACCCGCGGCGTCCCATCTCTCAGGCGCTGGGAGAAGGGGGGTGCACGCCACGCCGCTGGGGCCCCCGCGAGCAGGGAGAGGGGACCCCTGGAGTCCACAGCAGTCCAGACGCCGGCGGCAGCGAGGAGGTGGCCAGGGCGTGGGATGTCCCGGAGCCGCGCGGCCCGGCCTCCCGGACCGGTGGTCTAATGGGCAGCTCGCCGGGAGGCGGGCACAGGCCCGAAGCCTCCCCGCGGCCCAGCCGCCCCGGCCCGCTCCGGCACGGGCTCCTCGGCCGAGGGCGCCGGGGGTCCAGGCCGCCCCGGGCCCCCACCGCGCTCTTTGTCCGGGCCGCGCGCGGGCGGACGCGTGCGCCATCCCCCGCCTTCCGCCCCCGCCTCCCCCGCCCCCCCCCCACACACAGGGGGACGGCGGGAGGCACGGAGAGCGCGCGCGCGGACGCGGGCACGCGGGCACGCGCGCCGCTCGCCCCCGCGGGCCGCCCGCCGCGCGCGCGCGCGCGCTCCCAGCGCCAGGCACGCCGCGAGCGCGCGCGCGCGCAAGAGCGGGCGAGCACGCGCGCCGGCGCCGCGCCCGCCCCTCCCCCCGCGCTCGCCTCGGAACTTGCTGACTGCGCGGCCGGGAGGAGCCGAGCCGGGCGGCGGCGGCGGCGGCGGGAGGCCACAGCGCGTGGGGGTCTCCCGCGTCCCCTGCGCCTGGCCGGGAGCTCGCGCCCTCGCCCCGCCGAGTTCCCACCACCACCGCCCCCCCTTCCCTTTTTTTTTTTCCTCCCCTTTCCCGAAGGCGCTGGGCGGCGCCACCCTCCGGCCGGAGCCCGGCACTGCAGCGCCGCCTCCGACTTTCAATGTTCCTCGCTCCCCGGCCGGAGCCTCCGCGGCTTCTTTTCTGCCCTCCCCCCCGGCCCCCCCCCCCCAGCTGCCTCCATTTCCTTAAGGAAGGGGCTTCTGCTCTCGCCCTCCCCCACAGCGTAGCGGCGCGCGAGCCGGCCGGGCGGGCGGCCGAGGTAAGGCGGCGGGGCCGGGGGGCCGCGTGGGGGGCGGCCGGGGCGGCGGCGGCGGCGGCGGCGGCGGCGGCGGTGGGGGAGGGGGCGGGGGCGGGCAGCTTTGTTCGCTCGCGCCGGGCGCCCGCGCCGGGGCCGCGGGGCTGCTCGCGTCCCCCACCCCGGGGCGCCCGGCGCGGCCCCGCACGCGGCCCCCGCACGGCCCTCCCCACAAAGGGCCGCGGAGCTGCGTGGTGGCCGCCGCCGCCGCCGCCGCCGCCGCCGCCGGCCGCCGCTCGCCTCCGCGGCGGGGCGCGGAAATTTGTTGCACTTCTTGGGGGCTTTGTTTGTTTGTTTGTTTGCTTGCTCGTCCCCCCCCCCCTCCGGGTCCCCCTCCCCCTGGCCCCGCCGCCCCCGTCTGTTCGTTTGGGACAAAATGTCGGTCCTCGGCGTGAGCCCTGAGCGAGGAGCCTGGCCGGCGTCGGGAGCTTTGCAGAAGGTGCAGCTTGCGTCCGGCTCGCTCCCCCCCGGGTGGCAGCTCGGTCTCGGCCGCCGGGTGGGTCTTGGCCGCCGGCCGGCCGCGCCAGGGGCCCCCGCGGCCGCGTCGGTGCATTTTTTTAAATTTTCCTTCTTTTAAACCCCCAAGCGGAGCTTGGAAGGGTTCCGCGTGCCCCCCGGAGGACCCGCCAGCTCCCCTCAGCCCAGGGGCGGGCAGCTGGGCACGTTTCCCGCGGCCCGGGAACCGTGTCCTGCTGACCCGCGCCGGCATGTCGATATTTAGGCGTGATGAGCGACTTTTGAGCGATTTTTTTTTCTTTTTACCCCCCCTCTTTTCCCTCCTCCAGCGGGGGTCTGTTCTCCGCATCCAGTCGCGACCCGGCGCTTGGTGCCCGCTGCCCGACTTCCCTGGCCCGTGTGTCGTCCCGTGCCCTCCGAGAAAGTAGACAATTGATAGATTGTCCCTCCCAGGCACGGGAGCAAATGTGAGCGGGTTTTTCCAACTTGAGTTGGGTGAATCCCCCGCTGGGGGTCGGGGCGTGGGGGGGGGCACGGCACCGCCTCCTCTCCCCGCAACCCCGCCTGCCCCGCGATGAGATCAGCGTGGACGCTGGGGAAGCTTGTCCATGCAAAGGACGACTTCGAGGAGGTGGACCCGGCGAGCAAGAAAATGCCACTGGCTTGGGCTTCTCCCTTTCCTTCTTCCCTAGGCCTGACACTGTTGCCTTTCTTCTCCCCCTCTCTCCTGGAAAGTTTGCCCAGGAATAAGTCCAGCAAGATGTCCAGCGATCGGCAGAGGTCGGATGATGAGAGCCCCAGCACCAGCAGCGGCAGTTCGGACGCTGACCAGCGCGACCCCGCAGCCCCAGAGCCCGAGGAGCAAGAGGAGAGGAAACCTTCTGCCACCCAGCAGAAGAAGAACGCCAAACTCTCCAGCAAAACCACCGCGAAGCTCTCCACGAGCGCCAAAAGGTGAGGGGCGGGCAAGGAGGAGGAGGAGGCACAGCTGGCCAGGGTGGGCTTCCAGAGGGACGAGCCTCCAGCTGCTGATGCTGCCCCCCTCCACCCCGGCCGGCCGGCCCAGGGTGTTCAAACACCCTGACTCCGCCGACCAGTTTTGTGCATGCTGGAAGGAGTTGTCCCAGTGTGGGGTGGTAGATAGAGGCAGCCCCCTTCCTGCAAATCCCACTGAGGGGCAAACTTTTCACTCTGTCCCCGGGCAGCTTCTGCAAGCCTGTCCCTGGAGTGGAGATGGGACTGGCATTCTGACCGATCGTTGAAGAGCTGGCAAGGGAAAATTGGGTGCACCCAAATGAGCTGGTGCATTGGAGGATGTTTCCCTTTTCTGAGTCACACTCTTCTTCATTGAAAGTGACACTTGTGGAGATTGGCACTGCCTCTCCTTGGGGAACTTTATCATCAGAAATGATCGGGTTTGCGAGAAAACTGGTACATCCAAGGCCTTGGCTGTCCGTGAACATGTTTAAAATCGTGCTTCAAGTCTTCTGTCCGTCTTGCAGATCATGTAATTTGGACATTGTGTGTCCCAAGTGTGACTTTTTTTTTCCCCTGGTGAAACTGTGGTCACCCAAATGAAACGGTTTAATTTTAGGTGGCCCATGGTAATTGAAAACTCTCATTGTCCATGTGCCCCTTCACTCTGAAACTTGTCGATACGCTTGATACGTTCGTACTCAACAGCAGGAGGGAGATATTTTGTTGGGTACGTGGAAGATCGTTTGTTATCTCTTGATTTATATTGTCTGTGATGGTGGGAAAAATACCTGTCAGTGGGAGTCCACCAGTTGTAGTATATTGGAACATCCATGGCTTCTAGTAATTATACTGTATCTGCAGCATTAGCGGATACTGACATTGTGTTGATTTTCATTGATCAAAACTGAGGAAAAAGAAAATTTAAAAATTGGTCAAATACAGTGTTGTGTGGCAATTCAAAAGTAATCTTACATAATACAATTTTACCTCAGTTGCGTCTGCCAATCTTGACTAAGTAGGTATCTTTTGAAGTAATCTAAAATCTGTCTCAGTTTATTGTAATCTTACTGAGGGATGAAAATAAAAAGACTTCCTAACTTTTAAAAGCTTTTAAAATGTGAATGTCACCGGGGAACTGCTTTGTACCACTTGTCCCCTTAACTGAAGGCTTTCTACTATGTCGGGTTCTTCTCCCCTAACCCCCCGCAACACACACATTTATTAAATTTCAGAGCTGTGTTTAAAGACCAGGAAAAACAGATCTCTGCCAGGGTTATTTGGAAGTTTTTCACTAGTGAAGGTATTTGTGAATTCTAAACTTTTTCTGACAGATAAAATATTGCCAGAGCTGTTGATGTGCTCTTCTGTGCCTTGTTAATTCTTACCTCAGTCCTATTGACTTGGCGTCATTGTCAAATATTCTAGGGCTTTCCCTCCTCCCTTCTGCCTCATTTGCATATAAGCTTGAAAAGAGAATTTCTTTGGTAAAAAGTATTTTAAAATGGATTTTGCGTCCTTTACTGAGTACCCCTGGCAGACTAGTTCTCAAATCAGGTGTGAATGTCTTGCTTATTTACAGTAGCAAGTGAGAAAAAAAGCTGCAAAGTTTCTGTTAAGGGATTTGGGTTATGCCTCTGAGAACAAAGAGGAAGCAGCCATGTTAGCATTACTGAAGGCAAAGCCAGCCTTGCATTTAACTGTATGGTGGTAGAGGGCAGTGTGATTCTCCGCTTGTTCTGTAGCCTATCTCAAATCCTTTTTGTCTGTTCTCATTTCACTCACAGAATTCAGAAGGAGCTAGCTGAAATAACCCTTGATCCTCCTCCTAACTGCAGGTAAGAAATAAATGTTTCTTGATTGTGATTTCCTATTGTAGAAAGAGATCAAGAGATTAGGGTCTTTTCCTGGATGTATGTGCTGCAGAAGAGGCTGAATTTGCTTCTCAGCTCTGGAAGTGAATTAAACAGAAATGATCTAAGTGGAATGAAATAAATTTTGGCAAAAAATGCTTCAGTGTATGTCATACCTTTTGAACTTGGGAGCCTAGTGACTTTGTTGTTACTGAGATTAGTAAGAAGGGTGCTGATTCTTGTTCTATTGTATTCAAAACGGTGTTGATTCAGAAGTATATTGCGGAAACTTCTAAAATTTTGCTAAGCTTAAAAGTTACTGCTTAAGTGCGATCTGAACTGACTTCCAAATTTAGAAATTGCTGAATGTGGTGTTATAAAGTGTAAATGCAGTAAACAAGAGTATAGTTGTTTCATTTTGATTTATTCAGTAACTTGCCTTAAGGATAAATTTTATGTGCTAAGCTAATGGGTTTAGTTGTTTTTTTTAGGGAATGCATTGTGGGAATTATTTACACTTAAGTGTCCGTAAATTACTTGGGGAAATTCTTAGCAGTTTTGCTGTTTGAAGTACTTATATGAAAAACATTAAATGAGTTGGAATTTGCGGTGGCCAGAATTCATTTCACTGATGCTCAAGTAGAATAAAAAAATTTTTGGTGGGGGGGTTATGGTGAAATAAAAGTATGGTTGACATGTTTTCTCTGAAAAGAAAAAATTCTCAATTGCTGTTTTTCAACATTGATCAGACGAATTTCAAAATTAAAGTTTCATAGAAAATTTGCAGTTAGCTGCTAAAGGAGGATGCTAGTGTCAGGCAGTGTAATGGTCGGCATAAAAATGTTGCTGTGTATTTTTCTTTTTTCTATAAGCTGTGTTCACTTAGATGCTGTTTAGAGGTATCACCAAAGTCTACTTGGGATATATACTGAGCTGTAATCCCATTGTGTCTTGTTGCAAATACTCAGGTGGCACGGACTTGTCGTGACTTAATGTCATGAATTGAAAGTTGTTCATATTTTTAATCAGCCATTTCAGGTCAAAAAAGAAGCAAGAATGTCAAATAATTTTAAGCAAATAGTTGTATAGGGAGAGCTGCAATGTACAGTAGTATTAACCATTGCTAACCTTCTTAGTTGTTGCTATTTTGAATGAGATTTACTTTACGTTTAAAATACATGTCTGATTTGGGGAATTTAGTACTAAGAAATACCTCATTGTGTGTAAAACAGTGTAAATTTTATATTGAGTGTAAAGTACTTAATTGATTTTTGAGAATATTGTATTTTATATGATGCTTTTGGATTCATTGGATTGTGTATGTATATAGTGTTTTAAAATTAATTTCACTCTTATTTTTCTGTGTTGATGAGATTGTTAGGAAGCTTAAAATTATGCGTGTGGTTTACGCTGTATTTCCATTAAGAGTGTTGCTTTAGGGATAAAATAAATCAAGTATTTTTTTCCCCAGCCCTCTGAAAGGCTTGTCAGATCTGTGGCCATTTAAGGGGATCAAGTTAAATTTGTTCTTTGGGAAGAATCACTTAACTTTCAGTGTTTTCTGATTCTTTCTGTTTGAAAGATGTAAAGATCTATCACTTTAGAACAAATATTTTTAAATTGCATGTAAGGTGGAATTATTTTAAAG